AGCTGCCATTGTTGCAGGTTTCTTGCCACTGCTGTAATCTTTCTTCTTGTTTCTTTTCTCGTTCTTCTTGCTTCTTTCTTTTTCCTCCAACAACTGCTGTAATTTCTCTTGTTTATTTTGCCGTTTGAGCTGCCATTGTTGCAGGTTTTCTTACAACTGCTGTTGTCTCTCTTCTTGTTTCTTTTCTTGTTTATTTTCTCGTTCTTCTTGTTTCTTTTCTTTTTCCTCTAACAACTGTTGTAATTTCTCTTCTCGTTCTTCTTGTTTCTTTTCTTGTTTTTGTATTGCTGCCATCAAATCTGCTAAGCTGTAGTTTGATTTTCCGCCTCTCGTTTCCATTTTTCGTCTCTTTTTTTTTCTATCCCACTCTCTGACACCAATTTGTTACGTCTCCGTTCGTTAATTAACTTTCCGTAACTTCGTTCCGACAAAACTTAAGCGACACAAGTCCTTTCTTAATAAAACTGGTTTATTCTTTCCAAATATAACTTTACCAATGCACTCAACTTCAACAATCGCGCTAAACAAACGCTATAACAACGAACGTGCTCAATAATACTTCTGACTGCAGATCAAATACTCACTGTCTACACACACATTACCTTACATTACCCTGTCACGTTGTCACCCTCTTTTATATACCCGACTACCCTATATCTAGTAAATACTAGAGCATTCGCCAAAGTACAGGATAGTTCTAGAAACGTGGCGTCACAGTAGTCATGTGACTTGCTGACGCAACAATATACACATATATACTTGAATTAAAGAGGCCAACATTTGTGAGTGAATGCAACATGTCTCCACCATGCAATCCAAACTTGGCCAATTTTGACACCAGAAAAAGCATGAAAAAACACAGAAAAATCGAAAACTTTCTATATCACAGTTTCGGATCTGCAAAAATGTATCTTTGTACCACATCCCGTGTAAGTTGGTTGACATACACATGAATAGTTCACAAAAACCCCAAAATGTGCTTTCCTCACTGAAAAAATGAGCAAAAGACAAAAAATTCCCAAATTGTCTATATCTCTGTTTGTGACCTATAAAAAAAGTACCTTTCTTTGAAATCCCATGTAAATTCAGGACTGTAGGAAGTGATAAGGCCAGTCAGGCCATGATCTGACCACTTTTTCATGGCATGTATAACTACAACTTATATATTAAAACCTGTTTCTTATAATTCAATACATTATGTTGTGTGTATGCAATAGCATTAAATTTTCAAAACATTTCCTGGGGGCATGCCCCCAGACACCCCTGTAAATATCATGCTTCGCATGCCAGTAGTTTGTCGCATAGTTGTGGCAATAACCTTACCACTTCAAAATTACTTCTGATGGCAATGAAATTAGCCAAAATATGGCAGAGTAATTGTCACAAAAAAAAACTACAATTATGCTTTTTATAACATCTTAACCCCATAAAATGACCAAAAATGGGGAAGTCCACCATTTTTGTTTGTCAGTGTGTAGGACCTGTAGAAAAATACCTTTGTACCAAATCCCATGTAAACTGGTCAAAATTTGTCAGAGTAATTGACCAAAACCCCCAACTTATGCTTTTTTTTGTGAGCTCTGACCTCCCTTAAATGACTGAAAATGGGCAAATCCAATTTTTTTGTATTTCAATGTGTTGGGCACTTGAAAATTTATATGTGTGCTAATTTTCATCTTGATTGCCATAAATATGACCACACAGGAGCCCAAATATACATTTTTGGGTTGTTTTACCTTTGGCCCCTCAAGCTCCTCAAAAAGACCTAAGTAAAAAAAAATAAAAAAGATGCCTGGGTGTATTGAATTAAGGTATAACATACTAAGTTTGAAGTCCATCCACCAAGAAAAAAAGGAGTGGGGTCAATTGAAAAGTGTTTGAAAGAAGAAGAACAATAGAAAAACAGCATGTCTCTATGCGGAGACATTAACATTGCTTAAATAAAAGGGAATAAAAATAAGGTTTAAGAATAATAACAACAAATAACAAGAGTATCTATGTTACTGAATCATACATAATGATAAAAATAAGTCAAACTACCTTTAGATTATTCTATGGTAATTATGTCTTCTATCAAAGGTTTGTGCAAAATTGTAAAATCATCAGTTATGTCAAAACAAAAAGGATAAATATATAGAACAAGCAAGCAAATAAGGAAAAAACATACTTTCAGTGTACCATGATCTGCCATTTTTCTTATATCTTCTCCTCCCCACAGTGCACCATTGGCAATATAGATGCCATACTGGGTTGCAGCTTCCCTCAAGCTAATTTCTGTATTCTTATCAGCTAATACTGTTGGTGAACCAATCTGTGGAATATTTATTTGAAAATATATGTAGAATTAACTCTATATGTTAAAATATATACATGAAAGCAAACAAAATTTAAATTGTGAGTAACTCCATTATTGTAACATCATATGTACTAACCTCATAAAACTATCTGGACATCTAATTAAAATAAAGGGTCCCAATGACCAATGTTATAATACAACATTGTAGTCCTTTAGGCTGATATTACTGCTGATAGTTAATGAGACATGGTCTTATCTAGGTTACAACAGTTGTCTGATGCAATTTGTCTCCACTGTTGTTTACAGAGTTGAGTCAGTTGATGATTATTAGAAAGCTATACTTTAATGGTTCCAAGAAAGTTCTATAGATTTAAAATCCATGCTCTGAAACCAAACATAGTTCTAAGTGCTTTGAGACAAGGAATATTATCTTATTGAAACAACATGTTTGTGTGATAATCAAAACTCTGCATCGCCCCATGTGGAAGCTGTTTTTCAATAGCTTGTGATATTTAGGGCCACTTAGACATGTAAACACTTTACAGATAGCTCTCATACTGAATGTATGGAATTCATCTCATACCATAACACTACCACAATTTAATTATTTGGCTGCTTGCTTCAGACCCATATTCAGCCATAATTTGAAAGTAAATGATAGTTCACAAAATTCACAATGAATCTTTAAGGTTCAGTACTAATAAGCTTTACAAGAAGCAAAACGATGCTAACCATTATGTTTGGCAAATTATAAGTTGTGTATCACATTCTTTTCAAGTTACACATACTTGTTGATATCACGTTACAAAACCTTACAGATGGTATCCACTCAAAGATACCATTGTTATAGATAGAAGGTTTAGCAATTTTTCACACTTTCAGCATTCTTGGGTGTCAGGATTGTTATAAATGTCATATTTCCAAGCTCTTCCAATAGCTCAAAGGTAAGCTTGAGGGCTTATAACACTAAAAACTAGGTCCCAATACCTGTTACAAGCAAAGTGTATATAGCCAATTTTGTAGTTTTGTGCTTAGAAATAAACAAACATATTCTTAAATTTTCAAATATAGTTTAATCATTCCATGCATAATACCAGGCATTGCAAATGTTTCACTTGTCAACTTTTTACATTTACAGCAACTCGAAATATTTCTTCTCACTAAATCACATCATTCTTATATTTTGTACCACTTTGACATTACAAGTGTATGTAAGTACTTGTGCTTCTGTATTACTATTCACTGAATTTCTTTTCAAAGCATGCTGGCTGGGCCATGTCATATAACAGATTAGAATATAGATGCATTGTATTACCAATCATAGAAGGGTAACATAATGCATCTAGTAACAGACCTTATTCACACTGATTTCATATATGAATTCCTTGGTGTACTTCTGAGTAGGATCTATAAACATTTCAAAAATACCCATTGAAATCAAGGTGTTATAAAGAAATGATTCACAGATCTTCAAAGAGAAATAGTTATTGTATGCAGAATTGGTGATATGAGTATGCAAAGTATTCTATCCCATGTATTCATACATGTATTGACTACAAGTAATGTGCTCCTGAAGAAATGGAGGACCATTGGACATGCTAATGAGGAATATAAAAACAGTGTCTCTAAATCGATCACTTCTTGATTAATATATAGTTTGAAATGTGTTTTAAAATCCAATCAAACATCTATTAATAAATCTATCACCCAGAACTTCATTGACAGTTCAAGAAATTAAATTACTTATTACAGCCATTATTGCTCTAATGATAATTTCAAGCCATAAATTTGGGATGAAAACCAATCCCAAACCACCATGATAAATTCCACTAATCATTGTTTTTTTTTTTTCATATTGAAGTGGGGTTATGATGGCAATCTGGAGAAAATTATAGATATGACTATATCATTTTAACTGTGAAATGTGGTGAGGGTAGTACTGAGGATTTGGTCTGCTTAGCTATTCAGGGTTGCTTCACTGAAAATTTGTTAGTGAAAAATTCTTAGATCTCCTAAAGAACTGATTTTTTTCATTACTTTTTTACTTCTTAACATTAACTTCTGTAAAACATATCAACAGTATCTAAACCAAAAATAGAATGTTTAAGATTTCTTCAATATTACAGGAGATGAATATGGTCACTTAATGACATCTTGTATGACACAAGTGAAGCAAATGTTATTATTAGCTTTCAGTACTGGTTACTTCATTTCGTGTCATGTCTGAGGTCAGGAGGAGTTAATATGTTTTATTACTCATGTTTATGAACATACCATATAATCACAATGTCTAACAAACAGTTTGCCAAATTCTGCTGTAATGGAAGGGTGTGCCACTTCCACCACCAGATCAGGATGTTTGTCTGTGAAGTTTGACAGATCATCTAATTGAAGAGATGGGTCGACTTTACCAGCCAAATAACTCTTTGTTCTGTTCCAGACAAATGCAAGTTCAAACTCTTGCTGCTTCTCAAGGATTGCCTGAACCAAATATTGACCTGGGTTAAAATAAGAAGAGCATTCAGTGTGTTTCTAAATGTTAAAATGTTAAAAATTTTAATACTTGCCCTAATTTGAATATTCACTTCATAAAACCCTTCCAGGTAAATTATAAACAGCTTAATGATCAGGTTTATGATCTATCTATATAGATTATAAAAACACAACCAGATGTTTCTGTTCAAATTCCTTAAATGTTGGACTGCACAAAATGTTATACTTTTAAACTATGAACATAAGTTGAGAATAGTATTATTTGTAAGCATTTTTTAGGCATTGATAATTCCATACCATAAATAAAATTATGAGTTTTATCACTTAATGTGTCATTTTTTAAAACGTTTGTGTAAATCATCCAATATTTTTTCTTATGAAATTTATAAACATAAGTTACGATATTTCAGAATAAACTGAAAGAAGTTAATAATCAAAATATTTTGATATTCTCAACATCTTTACACACAACTCAATGAAAACAACAATTTATTTAAATTAATGTAATAATATATGTATTACCATATAAAAAATTAATGTATAAAAAAGTACTTTAGTTTCTAATCTTAGTCACTTTTCATTGAGATTCCCTCCCCCACACACACACACTTGTAGAGCAGTTCAGTAATTCCAGAGACTAAACTGATCACATGACATATGAGGTGATTTCTTGAATTTTATAAATACAACGATGTAATCAAATCATGTTTAGTTTGCAAAAGAACAGGTAAGTCCATGACAATACTCTGACTCTCAAAGGGGAATGAGCATCTTTTTTTTGTTTTGACAAGCTGTTTAAACAAGTTTTAACTGTTTATTTAATAGGAATATATCTGCTCTAAGAAAAATAACAGTGCACAAAAACTGATAGCAGACTAAAAGAAAATATCATTGAGCATAATTATGTGGTGCAACACGTCTGAATGCTGACCAATATATTCAATAGTATTCATGATTCAGCTAACTTTAACATATCATGCAAAAATAATAATAATCATAAACAATTGTATTATCACTGCCAATTAATTTAATAATTTATTATCTCTGAATAAAACAGGAAGGCACGAATATACTGGAGGTTAGAGAGCACACTGTGAATTAAAGGAGTAGTGTGTGTGTGTGTTGTATGGTCTGTTGATTTGCATTTCACGCTTTTCTTTACTAACAGCAGAACAAAAATATTAAGAAAACTACAAAAGTCACTTGAGCCTGATTGTGTTTTACTGATAGTGCAAGCTGCTGAATGTAACAGTTTGGCACTCATTCTAGTGGCAGGGATTTGGTCCTTTGATTCTTCTCTTTAAAATAGTGAGTTATATGCAGAGTTTACCTAAATGTTGTTGTCAACCATGTCTATCCTATGATACTGCATTTCCACCTTGATAGCTTAAGAACATTCAATACAGAAATGCAACAATCCACCATAACATGCTGGAAGATCAATATATTCAGTAACATTCTTCGGCCAGTACAGTCACCTATCTTAGTCTGATTGAACTTACTTAGAATGAATCTGAACCTTGAATTCACCCTTTTAACCTTGTGTATGTCTGTGAATCAATTGCAGATAAAACTCTTAGATGAATGGAATAGAGTTGCATGAAACAGATCTATCAAACTTAATGAACGTTTAATGTTTATCCATTTTTTGGAATATACTGCCACTGTTGCCACAAGTTTTCAATGTATAACTTTCTTAACTACTGTCCAACTACTGTTTTACAAGTTGTTTAGGTAAGTAGATTGAGAAAATAAAAGTGATACTCTTCCTGCACGTATGATGTGAATGTTAAAATATTATGCCTATGTAGTTAGAGAGCAGCTGCTTATGGTATTTAACATTTTCTACATAGTCTACATTCTTATGATGAAGAATTTGCATTTTTAGCTTGAAATAGTCGCATACAATGGCTTCTGTTGACACCCTGTAACTAGAATCCCAAAACCCTATTGCTAATATCAGGTTTTGTAGGGTGGATTCTTTAATATTCTAAAGTAAGTGAACCAGACTGTGTGGACTTTGACAAAAAAGATATAATTAATTAAACTATGATAACCAACAGCATAACAACAGCATAACAAACATTTGTATATACGTTTGACTTGTTTTAATATGTTATTTTAAAACAAATGAGCTGTGTTGCTGTTTGTTTATTGTTGAAATTTATCATCACATGCCAGAGACACCTACTGAAATGACAAGACGAATTATTCTTCTCTGTTCTGTTATTACAATACAGTCTGTGATAATTTCATTTTAAAAATCCCCACTATACACTCTTTATCACTAGACTCACAATCACGCAGTCTCAATCTAAATAATAATCTTTCGACGCGTATTTATATCCCGACAGAAGTCTAGAACATTCCATGAAATACTAGATATTCTGATGTAATAATACTCAATTAAAAATTCAGTAAGTCGTAGTACTATGATGCAACTATATAATAATTGCCAATTCATAACAACTGAATGTACATGCTACACAACATATGATTCATTAACAATTACCTAAATAAACTTGCCATAAACTCTCACTTCTAAAAATAACTAAATATGACATCCATGCCATATAAACTATACAAATCATAATGCTTGAATTAAACTGAAACAGTTGTGTACACCTAAAAGCTATACATGATTTTGAGAGAAAGCTAGCTTGGTTCTGTCATGAAACTAGAACTATAAAGTGATTGTGGGTTTGAGATTTAAGTATTTTTGTAGGTTTTTATTTTCATAGGAGGCAGGATTTGAGAATTGTGCTAATCTTAAACCCATTTGAAAATTACCTATATGAGTAAGAGTCTGGTTCATGAGACTACACAGCATTTAATATATAAGATAGACCTTTTGACACTTTTTACTGAACAGAACAAAGAACTTATGAGAAACTAATTGCAGTGGTATAAGAATGTTTTTTCCAGCAAAAGAAAAAGATTGGCACATGATGACATAGGTAGAGTACTACCTAGCTTTCCTGATTTATTAGCTAATACAGCCTATGGCATGCAATTAGAATAGCTACCTCGTGTTGTGCTATGCATATGCATGATGTTTTAAATTACAAAGTTTGTATTTAACCCATGACTACCTATATTATATTATGATTCGTTTATACATAGATGAGTACAACAATAATCATTACTATAGGTTTTATGTATCATATAAAGTACAATGTTATGTTAAAGTATATACTGGTCACCTCTTTAAAATTGCTATATATTTTTGTTTTCATACACTACTAATGACACAATCCAGTCACCATCTCAGTCATTCTCTGGTGCCAGCAATAAATGTGAAGCTTGTGAGGTTGACAATATTGAGCTATATTCTTGTGGTGATGACATGCAAACTGGTTTATTTGATCCTCAAACTGCTTCAAGCACTGACAACTCCATTATTCCTGGACCATCATCATCCTACTGCACTAGAGACACCAGTCATGGATTTACTAGAGATTTTTCATGATATTTCTGTAGTCACTGAGCCATGCATTGACATTGGCAATTTATTGACATCAACAAAATCACTTGACAAAAAATGACATACTGTATTTAACTATTAATCTATCAAGTGCTGAAAGTATTCCTATCTTTATAAGCATGTGGCACTACCAAAAGTTTTTCCTACCACCTTTTCTCATGGATGTAGTTGCAAGTTTAAAATAACTTGGCTTGAAAAATACTCATGGTTATTATACAGCCCAAAATTGGGTGGCATTTTTTGTGGTCCTTGTGCTACCCTTCGAAAATGCAAATATATGTAAACAAAAATCCAAACAAAATAAAAAGTTGAAAGTATTAAGAATGAAAAAATGAAAACTCAATATAAATAAAACATCAAACTTGTATTAAAATATTTACACACACACACAAAAAATGCTGTACGTGAGACATGTGATCATGTCTCGCTATACACAAATAACTACTATACCACTAATAGTGGCTTCAAAAACTTTATCTTGGTCAAAATGTAGTTCTGATACATGTCGTTCTACTGCGACTTCACATCGACTTGTTGATTTGGATACTTAAAATCGTTTTAATATAATGTACTCAACTATGTATATGATAAGGCAGTCAAGGTCAAAAGTGAGAATTTTTAGGCATCATTTCTGTAGAATTAGTTTCTAAAAGTAAATATATGGGAATAATGGATAAACGTAAACCTTCTTGATCAATTTTTTCGTAAAACGGAATTTCTTTACTGAAAACATATTAAAATGTTATAAGATGTGTAACTTAGACTCAAAAAAAAGAAAAAGCCATCCCACCTTACTTTATTATTACTGACATTAATCATCATTATTAATAACTGTGCACCTACAAGCCATTTTCCTCTTAACTTTCCTCTGGTGACACTACAATTAAGCCCATGCATAAATGCCGCGTAACCACGTTATTAGGAGAAAAACTATAACAGTTAGTAGTTAAATATTCTAGCAAACTATCCAAACCTCATTTTATCAGTGAGTTAAAGTAAATTTATATTGAAAATTCCACTTCGAATAAGGATTTTTTTTCCACCCGAGATACGGTTTCTCAGAATCGTAGACTGTAATTAAAAGTTACTTTGAGTATTAGTTTACAGTCTCAGGAGATATGTCGACAGACATTGACCTCTCACATGAAGCGAGTTCTTTTACTGATATTACGATTGGTCTTCTGGCGTATACTATCATACTGATTCCCCATCTTTTGCTTTTCCTAGCTACAATATGCCATAATTTGTTTTGAACATCGATAAAGGTCTTTCATGGTTACCCCAGTGCAGAGGAGGTCGATAATCTGCCAGTGAAGTTAAATAATTTATAAGTAAACAAAGTAAAAACATAAAAAGTTTATATTATACACACTCACATATATTCACAGATATACACATAATTTCCGTAAGAGCTGCTCTTCAATCTGAAGTTGTCCTTTTTATTTTTATATATATGTTCGTATAAAAAAAAATTGTGATCGTAGACAGAGCCGAGTGTGGTGCATTGGTTAGCGTGCACGGGATATTATTCCAAGAATTCACGGTCCGCGTTCCGTTGTCGCAAAAAACAGGATTCGCACTTAGAGGACGTTGATTCGCTGTAAGAGTTACAACCAAATTCCATTATTCCGTTAGGCAAGATTAGTTCAAGAAATGGAGTGGTGTTTAATAGTTGCCTTCCATCTAGTCTATCTGATAAAAATAAGAGACGTGCAGATATCTATTGTGTATCTCTGCGCGAAAATTATAAACCACAATAAAAAAAAGTCGAAAACAATGATTTGTTTACTTATATTATTACCTTTGAAAGTGTAATTTGAGCGTTATATTCGTAATATATACATGTAAATCTTCCTTTGCAATTCTCAAAAGCTCATTCATTACAATATAAAGCTTTCTAATCTTATATTACATTTTAAACCAAAATTTCAAACTGTTTTTACAAGTAAGCAACAACTAGAAAAAATCTTTAGTCGACTGAAACAAGCAACCATTTCACAGGAAGGTGTAAGAGAAAGAGAATTGCCTATACTTTTGCGAATAAAAAATCTCACTATAATGGAGCAATGGCGTGGCCGTCTATATATATATATTTATGTGATCGAAATAACAAATACAATGGTGCTATCTGTTGTGCTGAAATACAACATCTCAATGCTAGAAGTGTGATTCTGGTTTATGATATCTAGCGCCATCTATTAATAGCATCACAAACAAAAATCCATAAAAAACATTAACGCTTTGGGTGTTCAAGATTCAGACAATTAGAAAATATTTATGATATGTTACAATGAGGTATGAATACTACGATTCCTAATTACTAGAACAAACAGACGCCCATAAGACGTCGTTTTTACTAGTAAGAATAATAAAACAAGAATATCGTTTATTATGATAATGAATACCAGGACTAGTACTCATAATCAAACGAAAAGCTCACTGTTATCAAGGCACACTATGATTTTTCACAAAATAAATCCAAAATAGCAATGCAAAATTAAGCAATTCTGATTAAAATTACATACTTATTACATGTATATTTCACAAACTTACTAAATTTTTTTAACACCATAAAATATTTAGAAATGTGTGTAAGCAAACTGAAAACAGTTAAGATAAAACATGTAATATAAAGTCTTAACAAGGAAAAGAAATTACAGCGTATGTTTTACAAATTTAGAAATTGAGCACAGGGTTATTTAACATGTTAACTTTCTAAAGTACAATCAAACAAATAATTATAAATTAAAACAACAAGAAAACCAGAACATGCGAATAATCAGAAAACTAATTTTACACTTAGTACATTTGATTTAAATACACATTCTTTGTAATCTGATTTTACACAACATAAAAATTGTGAAAAGAACAGTGTTTCACATTTGTTTAATATTATCTTTTAATTTTCTACCCTTAACATTTTCTGGATTATTATGTTACTTTATATCCTTTGTTTGAGTCAAGCCTTTTCTTGCGTGAACCCGCTTGGCTTATTCCACTTTTTTAACTTTGACACTCAACTTCGCCGAGTTTATTTTTATTTTTTCCTTTTAATTAATTCTGGGGGGGGGGGGGGGAGCGGGGCGTAGAAGATTGGTGAAATGTGTTAGTGCCACATCTTTGTCGAAAGTGAAGGGAGCAAGAAGAATCTCTTGACCACCTTAAGTTTGAATCCCAATATTTATTTATTTTTACGAGATCCCTACCACCATGCAACCAATGTCCTTATTTCTTGCAGTTATCTTCGGAATCATCGTTTACTGAAAGTAAACTAAAGTACCTATTTAGATTCCATAAACACTGAGAAATAGCAATATATATTCAACATCTGATAGAAATAAGACCAATTAAATAAAGTAAACCAATGAAGATTCTATAGCATAAACACGGAAAGTGCAACATAATGTACAAGACTAACCACCTTTTACCCACCTAGGTGACCAAATCCAACAATTCCAATTCTTCTTCGCCGAGAAAAACTCATATTTTTTTTCAGATATTTACCAAGCTACTTTCTGTCTCTTTCTTTTCGACAATAGTTGCTACTATTTTCCCATAACTACAGCTGAACATAAATCCTGAAAAGTGAATCTAAATTAAATAAGGTAATCAACATTAAACAAAAAGTACGAAAACTATCACAATAAGCATATATCTATCTTGCAAATAGCTATTGAAACAAATCTTAATTTGTATATTGAAATAAAAAGGTCATTGCACGAGATTTAACCTGATGTTGTATGCTCAGGTGCAACATATATGTGAAGGTTAAGTGGTACTGAAAAAACTTCACCACAATTATCGTGAATATTCCAAAATTTGAGAAAACACCTTAATCCTTCATGAAACTACTTTATGTTATGCAATAATATATGTAAACGTATAAAAAAAGAGCATACAATAGATATGAAAAAATATGGAATTAACACTGAGTACCCCGAGTTTCACCTAAATACTGCCTAAGAAAACCGAACGAAAACAACGTATTCTTTAGAAACCTATTAATACTTATTTTTGACAATAAGGATATTAAGTAAATTATTGTAAAATGTAAGTATTGGTTATTATTCATTAAATACAAGAGTGTGTAAATTATCATTTGCAAATATTTTATCGTTAGTTTTGTGCACAATAAGGATTTTCCCTATATTTTATTATTCGCAATTACTATGTGATAGAATTGTGCAGTTATTGTTTGAGTTATCCATTGTGACGGTTACAATTGAATCGTAAAATGAACTTATTGCTATAATACTAGAAAACTTTTTCTCATGTTTTGAATTTAAAACCAAATATATTGTATATCATTACATCTTTTTTTGAGCACATGTATTCGAGAGAAACAAAAAAAACTGAGCTGAATACCTGGCTGACAGTAACAATAAAACTGACTAATAAACTTGCTAGTTTAATAATTAATTACAATCACCTACTCTAGCCTAACTCGCTCTTTATATCTCGCTTGAACTGCTCTAAGACTTTCCTTTGGTCAAACAAAATTACAATAATACATTGAAAACCTCAGTATACTTGCTTTAAAGCTTCTCATTTCAGCTTTGTTTTGCAAAGATTAAGGCCACTGTTATGTATCGTGTTTTTACAGAATTTTTTGTTGATTAAACGATGTTTCAAGTTATACAGTAATAGAGGATTTATCCTTACAATATAGAATTCACTGGTAAAATCATTTCTACGTGCAAAACAGGTATTTTGTTTTCACTTTATCTCAGGTTTTAGAAAAGGTAATATGTTCCCACGATAATGATTTCAACTAGGCATACTCTCCTCTCTATATTCATGGACTAAGATTTATCTCACAACTCTGCTAACACAATACTTCATCACTGACAAATTTGGATGTCAAACTTCGCCTCTCTCAAAATACAACAGATTCAGTGTTGCCAGATGTACGATAATGATCGTATTTGTAAGATAATTTTGTCGTGTCATTACATTTGAAACTTCTCATCGCCTTGTTATAGCTAGGGGGTCAGACAAATAATAATGTTCTTGTAGCGCAGGTTTCTGCAGTGCTACAAGAACACACCCAATGATATCATTACAATATAAGCTGGGAGACAGAAATCACCGACAATAATTCAGTGTTGAATTACTTGTTCATGTGATCTATTGTATTCGTGTGTTTGAGTTCTAACCGCCTATAAAACTTCATTTTCCACCTGATGAATCAACTGCATATATTGTATTGGATCAGCATATTAAAGTCACTTGATAGTAATTTGGGTATTCTTAATTTAAAGGATTAAACTAAGTTAAAAATATTTAAAGACTTAAATCTTGAAAAGTTAAATGCTCTGAACTATAAAGCTGAAAATATGTCCTTTAGTAATTTAAATTATGTGTTTCCTACGCTTTGAGATTTGATTTTCAAGAATGTCCAGGAAGTTTCCTAAAGTTTCAGATGTTTCTTAAGAATTTTTCACTTTCATTTGTTTTTACAATATATCTTGAAAAATAACACATCAATTATAAAGTCAGATAACTTTGTAATATACAGGCATACATGCGTTTTCTTGCTTCTTGTTTTAATATAGAATGCTTCAAAATTTTTCAGTTATACAAATGTATAGCAGTTTTTGCATAGCATGTGGTCAAGATAGTCATTAAGTTTCTTTTGTTTTACCCTCCTTAGTTGTCAGTCGCCTGATATGCCGGTGATAAATACAGCTTTGAAGCTGCTCCTTGTGTGTGTGGAAGTCGATTGTAGTTCTCTCTAAAGATAGGTCAGATGATATATGCAAGTTAAAAACTTCATTATTTTCTCATGCGAATGACTGCAGTATTTAAAGGTAAGGCTTATTTCCTGACAACTATCAGACAGGTAAACCCATAATAACAGCAGATTCTTTTAGAAAATGAAAAGGCTCATTTGTTTCTGTACTTTGTCAGCAATCAGTTCTAGACTTATCTTCTTCTCCTTCACTTCAACCTGCCACGACTCGACTTCGCCTTCACGTCTGCCTACCTGCCTCAAGATTTTTTATTTTTAAACTACAGCCCAGTTAGAATCAGCCCATTTGGCCCGAATAGACCCCAATAACCCTCAGGAATCTATAATCGTTAGTCACGCGCAGGGTGAAGGAAGATTGCTTAATCTTCGAACACTCGTGAAGATTAATTATTTCTTTCAAATTAATTAATTTTACATCAAAATAACTGCCAGACAATACACAGATGATGAAGGGAGTGCTCTCAAGTTGATAACTTGGCCGAATTTTAAGTTATGTGAGAAATAAACAGAGTTGACAATTTTAAAGAACAGTGAAAACAATCTTTATTTAGACACACACAAAAAAAGAAGAAAATGTGTGCATAATTGCGTAGACGAGAGGATGATCTATAGGATCAGTAAATAGCTCGTTAGCTTTCCATCCCTCGAGATGAATCTCTGCTCAATTAATCATAATTAAGATCAAATAGAACTGAACGAAGAGAGTGCATTTAAATCTACAATATAAACTCTCCTTCTTGGTCTAGTGGACAATGTCACCTTTTGACCTTTGTTCCACGAGAACACTAGTCGGTTGTCATTTTCAGTTGACGTCATAATCGGCTGGCCAAGGACATTTTAGTGCTAACCCGCTCAACCCAGATTCTACATATGAAACAATTATCCCTGTGGGCGCAGGAGATGCCACCTACTAGATAATCAATAAATGAAGCAACTAGAACAAAGCATAGTTAACAACCTTCTAGACCACATGTAACCATCATGACAGTGTAGAAACTAAATAATAGAGTAGTTTCACCCTTTTGGTTAGCAGTATTTCAACCACCTGACCATCCCAGCTTTGAAGATCGAGCAGTAACCATATGGTTTAGTACATATATGATATTCTCGTTAGTACATGAGGCTTTGAAAGCAAGGGTCATTAAATCTTTTAAATCATTAATCTTTTAATTACCTGAACATAATAGCTGAAGAGAAAAATCAATCACTCTCTGTCATACTGATTAGGAGACCGACATTGGCATCTTGACCAATGGTCAGGGTTGACAGCAGCTTCCAGTTCTAGTGACTTCCCCTCTAGCTCCTCAAAGTTTTTCTTTGTTAAACCAACTTAAACCTCCTAACACATCCAGATATTCATCTGTCAATGGTAATAAAAAGGTGTCAATGCGAGTTGCTGTACTTACCTATTAGAAGTCCATACAGTAACCCTGATGTACCTTCTTTCTTTCTGCCCTTCTGTAGCATTCCTAGTGTTTCAGTACTTGCAACCATCATAGTACTTGAAAAAAGTCAGCATAATGGTCATCTTATCTGGCATCCATTGCTTGTGTTTAGGTTGATGAAGCAACAGTGAACAGCCTCCAGTATGAGAAGAATAGGCTTTGGTCTGGCATACAGGGTCTATAGAATGAGGCCAAACAAACCCACCTTTAACCTTCAAAGGATTTGGATTGATTCCTGAGATATTTTAGGCAGCTCATGGTCTGGAAAGAATTAACATTAGAGCAGGCTGTTCAAGACCTGATCCTCAGATTGGACAGTCTGTCTTTTGATATTGTTGATCATTTGGATAAAGGGCAACTAGATGACTGGGAAATCATTATAATGACTGTGCCACTAACTTGATCCTGCAAAGGGTAGGGTGATTTACCAGACCACGTTTAATGCTAGAAAGAGGGGTGCTACTGAGGGTATGGCTGCTTGTGTATATGATCTGCACTGATTGCATGGCAAGCCTTATCTAGCAATGTCCTAGCAGAATGGGAGGGCATCCTAGTAAGTAAATTTATTAAGGGACTCCCTTGTGAACTTTTGCAGCAGCACATCTTCACCCTCAATGAGGCTCTGTCTATTGTACAATTTTTGAAGTGGTAACTTCAATCTCGCCATTGGAAAGGAGAAAGCATGCAGTAGTAGCTGCAGTGACAACTCCATAAACAAAGGGTGTAGCATAAATGCTTCCACTGCAGCAGGCCAAACACAATCAATGGGATGCCAAACAACCAGCTCCACAGAATACAAATATGAGGTAAACACACTGGCTACCAGTAACTAGCAAATAAAATGCAAGCCCTTCAATGGATTACATGCCATTGCCATACCTACTTGCAGTACATCTACAACTGCAGCCACAGCCAATGTCCCCATCTAAACCTTGCTGTAGATGAAAAAGTGAAGTGTAGAACTGCCAGGGTGGAAGGGCTACCAGTTCCAGCCACTGGACTGGCAAGTGCATTTCAACCCCAACATCCTCACTTTGACAAACAACAAAGGGGCAAAGACATCAGTACTGTTCATCAGATCAGCAAGTATAGGGCGATTAACAATGAGTAACAGACACAATAGCAAATGTCCCAGTAAACTAACTGAGCCCAGATTGGGCTTTGTAGGTGGTTTGGGCATACAGTGCTTAGCTTGCACCAAGAAGGCTAGTGATCAACCCAGCTCTGTCAAGAATGGGTGGGATCTGGTATATGCCTTTACGGGTGCAAGGGCAAGAAGCTGAAGCAGTGAGAACCCTGGTGGAGCTCGCAATCTCCCACGACCTGTTAGTGAAGCCACCACCATGGCCAGTGAATATATATTTCGTTTTAGCAAATGGGGATAGACTAGATGTCATAGGAGAGGCAAATCTGAGGTGCCACCTACAGAACAAAGTGGCCATTCCTTGGTTTTGAAATAGATATCCTTGATATGGATATACTGTAGAGTTTGTCATTCAGTTTATCCATGCAATGGTTGATCTGAAGTTTCGAGGGAAACTCATACAGTGCTGTTCAAGTGAACTGCATGAGTGTATGTGACAAAGGGAATTGTTGTACCTCTGTATAAACAGGTGGTGTTCTGTGGTCTATTTTGAACAAGATCCAATATGTTGGTACTATGTAATTTAGTTATAAAAGCCAAGCAAGAGATAAACTATTTCCTGTCAGAAAAGTTGGCAGTACTAGCTAGGGCAGTGATCCACCCACCCACCAAAGGATGGAGTTCTGGTGTTGCTTTGCAGCTGTGGATGATTGGTCATCAAGCTGGACTCTGGAATGGTCAAAGGTACAGTGAGTGAAATGGGAGTGACCAGTACTAATGGAAGCACTTGGGTTGCATTCATTATACCACATCTGAAAGCAAATACAGGGCTCCTGACACCCTGAAGGCACTGGTTGAAGATTGTGCTGATGCTCTAGACCCATTACAGTGAGAGCATCTCAGTAACTTGTTGGTTGAATATACCTATGTGTTTGTGAGACTAGGTGGCCAGCTGGATCAAAAAATTGGTAATTTGGAAACAACTGCATTCGAACATCTGCTTGCCAAGTACCTAGATGCAGCTCCAGTCGACTTTTATGCCAATGGTCTGCTTAAATGTGGTATTAAAAGACTGTAAATTTATGGGTCTGTGGAAAGTTTGTCCTTTTCAGATGCTTGTTTCAGTGAGAATTGCGCTGTTGAGCAATATTGTTCAGTAATAGTCATCAGACTAACAGCGATTAATATGGTAGTAAGTATAGTTCTAAAGACAACACAGAACCTGAAAATTATTCTTATAAAGTGCGAGTAACCTTCAGTATAAAATAAAAATTATAGTAATTATCAAGAAAAAGTATCCTATCAATACGTTTGTGGGTAACTTATTCATTGATTTTAGCTAATGCTGTTGGTATTATATTAAATTAGTTTTGTCGACTTTAAATTAATATACATTTACAAACTACCATAAACTGCAACGATGGTTATTAAATTGAACCTAATTAGCAATGTGATAACTAGTTTATTTTATCGAATCTAATTTTAAAAGTCTCCAAAATTAATATTTTTTAACTCATTCGTAAGACCAAGTCTCATTGTCTCCACAGTATAAACCTTTTAGTTAATTCGAGTCATATAATTGTGGGGCAATTACATTTTAGTCCAACGGTATCAAGGAAGGAAGCTAATATTCAAGCTGACAAGTAAACCCTGTTGATAAAACGATGGCGAGAAATTCTACACGTTATAGTCTCAATATTTATTGGAATTTCAGGACCATAGTAGCATCAGCAACTTTACAGGGGTGGGGGCAACATTCACAAAGACACCGAGGCTTAAAAGGGAGAAGTTATAAATATCTTTAAAACTATCAGTGTTATAACACACACACACACACGTGTATATATATATATATATATATATCTATTTATAAACATACGCATAATTCTTGTAACTGTTAAATAGTTACCTTTCGCATGTTACATCATTATTTAGAATTTTTAGGCCTTTTATATTATTTCAGTACCGCTATTTCCAGTTATCCATCAATGAAATTTATTCTATTAAAAGTGCCAACTTCTTACATTAAGTCGTGTACACGCTGGTTTTTAAATGAAATATGTAATCTTCTGAGTGAATGGTATGAGTTTCCATTAATTTTAGTGTATTTTACAATAAATTTATCAACAACATTATTTATTTCAAAGGAGTAAAATTTCAAATTCACAAGATTATGTACAGTGAAATGCTATATAAACAAACTAGGAATACACAAAAAGAAAAAAATTGCTTAGAACTAGAAGTAATGCATGTGAGTGGGATATCGCTGATAGATAACTTTATATAGTTTATTGAAAGTAGTCAAGGGTGGTGTTTGAGTTTTAAAAACAAAGCAAATACAACTTCTAAAACAAAAATATTTTGGGATACACTATTTAGTATAATATTACATTATAATCTGTGAATTGTATGAAATTTTGAAGACAAACTTACCGCATTATTTTCCCTATTCGACTTGGTCACGAGGTCTGCGATTTATAATTCAGATTATTTCCACTAGGCGTCTATAGTATCGAAATTATACAAGTTTGTGAAAAAAGTTTAAATCCATAATAACGAAAGAATACCAAATTTATATGTATACAAGTCTCGACATTTTTACGTGACCTCTTCAGTCCAATGTTTATTTGTGAGAGAAACACATACAAATAACGGAAGTACTAAGTCTCTTAACAACATATGACGTCAGAAACCTTAAGACGTATTGAATAACATAACAACCTTTGGTTTACCGAATTTTTCGCAATTCATCGTTTCACATAACGTCCAATTTTCTGTATTACTACCAGAAGTACCCGTCCGTTGGACTGGCGAAATAAAAACTCGTTTGTAGCAAAGGATAGGAAATTATGTTTCTATTTTTTTCTTAACATAATAAACATTAAAAGTGCAATAAAAATACATATAGGTATTAATACTGAAAAGAAAGACGTACTGTTTTCAAAAATTCTATCAATATGATATTAGATGTGGGGTTCAACCCATCGATGTAGAGTTTGTAGGTTGGAGGCTATTATAATTAAACTAGAGGCAAAAGATAAAGAGAAGTGTAGAGTGGGAAATGATAGCAGGATTTCAAGAGGAGCTTAAGCTTTTAGATGCAAGGAATACTCAGCTAACAATGACTTTCAGGAAGCTATAAAGAGTACCATTAGGGCTAAAACTAAAAGGAGTGGATTTAATTGTAATAAGCATATTCTATTGAGCAACAGATTTAAGCCCTTGGCTTGTACAGAAGATGAACTATTTGAGGAAAGGAGAACAAAAGGGTCAGAGAAGGATGTAAATGATAAGGAGGTTATAGTTATAGGTGATTCCTTGACAAGGTATGTGGATAGGATATTCTGTGAATAAATAGGGAGAAAAGAATTAGCTTATGTTACCCAGAGGAACAAGTGGAGGATATAACTGACAGAGTAAGAGATACAATAAAGAGGGCTAGCAGATATGTAGTTTTTGTTGTGCATTTAGGGGCTAATGATGTAGGGAAAAGTAGGTCAGAGGAGGTCAGTCCAGATTATGATCCTGGATGGTTCCTCTTACATTTCGTACATTGTATATTGAATTTACTAGCACATCATCTAATCTAAGCAGTTCTTCATTAAGATTAGTGTCATGTTTTTTGATCAAACAGCACTTTAGAAACACTGTTAACTTGACAAGTATATTTATTTATAATGCAGAATCAAGTGCACTTTTCAGACATATATGAGGTCAATCATAAATTTTGAAGTTGTGACTTTTCCTACATTCATTTGCAAGGGCTATTAACTCAGTTGTAATGGGAGATTTAAATTAGGACTAGTCAATGGTGTGGGCCAGAATATACTAAATGTAAAAAGAATATGATGTAGAAAAAAATGTATCATAGGCAATGAGTATAGAAGTAGTTCTAATGGTAAGTTTAATTGTTGCTATTGTAATGCTAGATGTATAAGAAATAAAATTGATGACTTTAGGACACTGGTAGGAATGGAAGATTTTGATTTAATGGTAATAACTGAAACATGGTCAAATGTAGATGATTTTGATGACAGAA